CAACCTCTGCCTCCGGAGTTCAAGCAGTTCTCCTGCCTCAGCTTCCTGAGTAGCTGGGACTACAGGCACCTGCCACCACACCCCACTAATTTTTGTATTTTTAGGAGAGACAGGGTTTCACTGTGTTAGCCAGGATGTTCTTGATCTCCTGACCTTGTGATCCTCCTGCCTCAGCCTCCCAAAGTGCTGGGATTAAGGTGTGATCCACCGCAGACGTCTTAAACATTTTACTGAAATACAACACACAGAAAGAGTGGGCGTGTTGTGCCTAAGTGTACAGTGCAGGGGCTTTTCACAGGTGGGATGTACCCAGGGCAAAACTAGCACCCTTCCTCTCACCGACCTCCTCACCCAGGGTAACCACTCACATGACACAACATAAGAAGTATTCCCAGGGTTTTTACATGATGCCTCTGCAGACAGGGCCCCCCAGAGCTCCCTGGGGGGTGGGATTCACCTTCTCCCATGCCTGGAACTTTCCTGAGATCCCATTCTTTACCAACATGGCACTTACTCAGCTGAGATTACATGTATATTTGTTTGTCGGCCAAGCTGCTGTCTGTTTTGCCCTCTAGACTGTAGGCACCAGGGCTCTCCTGAGGACAGGACCTCCTGTTTCCCCCTAGCACTAGAATCTGGCAGGGGGCTGGGCACACACTGAGCCTTCGGTAAACACTGACTGAATGAGTGGAGTATACAGGGTTATCTGTGAATAATGTTCAGTAACAAACGTGTACATTTCTTGTTTTTTTCTTTTCCTCAGGGGACTGTCAAACAACTCCTCCTTTTCTCTGAGACTGAGGGGAACCCATGCTTCTTGGACATCTGTGGGAATTTCCTGGTTGTAGGGACAGACTTGGCTCACTTTAAAAGCTTTGATCTTTCCCGAAGGTAAATTTTTTTTCCAAAAGAAGTGGGAACATTTTTTTAATCGGTCAGGAAACAGTGTGGTGGGTAGAAAGTGAGTTAGAAACCAGAAAACTCCTTAGGTGCCCATTTCAACACCAACTTGCCACTCATGCTCTGGAATGCCTCATGTCGGCGCCTCCGTCCTTGGTCTTTACTTGGCAGTGGAGCAACGCAGGGTGCGGAAGGCTTGAATAGGTGAAGCACAGGGGATTTTGGGGGTGGTGAAACTTTTCTGTATCATGGGTACATGACATTGTACATTTGTTGGAACTCATAGAGCTTTATGGTGCAAAATGTGAACCTTAATGTGTGCAAATTTTTAAAAATTATTCAGGCTGAGCAGAGTAGCTCACACCTGCATTGTTAGCATTTTGGGAGGCCAAGGTGAGAGGACAGTTTGAACCCAGGAGTTTTAGACCAGCCTGGACAACATAGCAAAACCTGTCTCTACAAAACGTTTTAAAAATTAGCTGGGCATGGTGACATGTACCTGTAGTCTCAGCTACTTGAGAGGCTGAGGTGGGAGGATTGCTTGAGCCTCAGAGATCAAGGCTGCAGTGATTATGCCACTGCACTCCAGCCTGGGCTACAGAGTGGGACACCGTCTCAAAAAAAATCACTTCGAATGTTAGTTCCATCCCCAGGTTGGAACACAGAAGGTAGCACAACCATCTCATGGTGTTACAAATGTATGAAACAGCTTCACTAAAGGGTGTGGGGGAAAAGTGCTGACCTACGTCACTCAGGAGTAAATGGAGGCTCTGGTGAGCACTCAGGCCAAAGGAACTGCACAGGAGCTTGGCTCTCTAGTTGAGAATCCTGCTCCCTACAGGGGTTGGGATGAGCAATGCTGATCCTGTGATGCATGTGCACAGAATTGCACAGCTGAGCGAATGGAGGGTGGATGGTGGGAGCCTGAGATCTCGTGGGGGGGAGTGGAAGTTGCAGTTTAGCAAGGGGAGGGGCCAGAATGAGCCCCGGAGAGTAGATGAGAGGTGGAGATGACAGCATGGACAAATGCCTGGCCTCAGTGAGAGGGATGACTCTGTGTACAGAACAATAGGTCTGTTTTGATGCACCCGCTGGCACACACATATTTCCTTGTCCGGTCAGCTGAGAGGGCCTAGAAGCAACACCTGTGTCGCAGCAGGCACACCTGGGGCCCAGACCGCGGTTTCTAACACCATCCTCCAATAAAGGAGCCATGGGTCCTTGGAGAGATGCTGTCTCTAGTACTGGGCCAGGACATGTACAAATGAGCTGGCAGCATCTTGTGCTTCCAGGAAGTGCTAAAAACAAAACAAAAAACCTCATAACGATGGCAGGGTGGGGGTCACAGAGACACAGAACCCATTGAAAGAGGTCCTAATAGCCAAAGCTGGAATAATTGGAGCAAAAAAATAAATAAAGCAGGCCAGGTGCAGTGGCTCATGCCTGTAGTCCCAGCATTAAAAAAAAATTTTTTTCTGGGGGGCCCGTTTCATCCTGCAAGTCCCAGCACATTGGGAGGCCGAGACAGGTGGATTGCTTGAGCCCAGGATTTCAAGACCAGCCTGGACAGCATGATGAAACCGGATTTCTAAAAAAAAAAAAAAAAAAATACAGACGTTAGCCAGGCATGGTGGCTTGCATATCTATAGTACCAGTTACTCAGGTAGCCAAGGCAGGAGGATCACTGAGCCCAGGAGGAGCCAAGATCACTGCTCTGCACTCCAGCCTGGGTGACCAAGCGAGACTCTGTCTGATACAGATGAGTAAACAAACAAACAAACAAAGCAGCATTGAGTTGTACCGCAAAGTAAAAAATAAATATGCGTAAGTCCAAAGGACATGAATGAGTAAGTCATTAAATAGGGGAAAAGAGACATCTCCCATAGAAAAGAACTCCACACGATTTCTGTGGCACCTCCACCCTCGTGAGTGGGGCAAGCCAGGACTTCCCACTCCCCAAGGGCAGCTGGTGCTTCCTGAGGTCCACGCAGAGAGCACAATATAGGAACAGGCTGGCTCCATAGTGTAGAGGACCCGGTACAGGAAGGGGAGGACTCCACGCTGGAGAGACTGACAGGCTCCCTCGCCGGGTGACCAGGCCAGCATCAGCAGTGATAATTCAGGTTGATAGTGTCTGCCCCTGACATGATCTGATGCAAAGGGCACTTCACCTCTGTGTTGTCCTCTCAGACACCTGGAGCCGCAGTCTAGTGGTGGCCTGCAGTGACCGTGATCACTCCTCCTCAGAAACAAGGGAATCTGAGAAACTCTTATAGCTGAGAGATGCCCATGCAGCCTTGGCCGCTAAGTGCCACATGGACTCTGGGATGGGTCCTGGGATAGGAAAGAGACACTAGGGAAGAACTGAGGATGTGTGAACACAATTTTTAAAATGATAAGGAGCTACCACTACACATTTAGTATTATGTCAGCCGCAAAGTAGAAACAGCTAAATGTCACTGGCAGGGGACGAGTTAAATAGCTCAGTGTATCCCTAAGATGGGAAACTGCCGCTGGAACAGAGGGCAAGGAAGCAGTCCCCACTGTGCCATGAAAAATCACCAAAACAGAGTGGAAGGGAAAACTCCAGGTACAGAATGGCACAGAACAGTGTTTCTGTGGCTTTTTTGGTTTTTGTTTTCTTTTTTTTTTGAGATGGAGTTTCGCTCTTGTTACCCAGGCTGGAGTGCAATGGCACAGTCTCGGCTCACTGCAACCTTCGCCTTCTGGGTTCAGGCAATTCTCCTGCCTCAGCCTCCCGAGTAACTGGGACTACAGGCATGCGCCACCATGCCCAGCTAATATTTTTGTATTTTTAGTAGAGACAGGGTTTCACCATATTGACCAGTATGGTCTTGATCTCTTGACTTCGTGATCCACCCGCCTCAGCTTCCCAAAGTGCTGGGATTATAGGTGTGAGCCACCACACCCAGTCAGTTTTTGTTTTTGAGATGGAGTCTTGTTCTGTCGCCCAGGCTGGAGTGCGGTGGTATGATCTCAGTTCACTGCAAACTCGGCCTCCCGGGTTCAAACCTCAAGTAATCTGCCCATCTCAGCCTCCCAAAGTGCTGGGATTATAGGCGTGAGCTACCACACCTGGCCTTGAACAGAATTTTTAATAAGCTCCTTGAACAAGAGGGAGGGGATGAAGCACTCATGTTCATATTTGCTCATAAGAATACCCAGATTGGGAGTTCGAGACCAGCTCGGTCAACGTGGTGAAACCTCATCTCTACTAAAAATGCAGACATTAGCTGGGCGTGGTGTAGTCCTAGCTACTTGTGAGGCTGAGGCAAGAGTATCACCTGAACCCAGGAGGTAGAGGTTGCAGTGAACCAGCATCGCACTACTGCACTCCAGCCTGGGTGACAGAGCCAGACTCCATCTCAAAAAAAAAAAAGAGGCCGGGCGCGGTGGCTCAAGCCTGTAATCCCAGCACTGTGGGAGGCCGAGGCGGGTGGATCACGAGGTTAAGAGATCGAGACCAACCTGGTCAACATGGTGAAACCCCGTCTCTACTAAAAATACAAAAAATTAGCTGGGCATGGTGG